TGTGGAACTCGGGGACCAACAGGTTTCCCCCCCAAAACTCACATTCATTGACTTTTTTCCCTTTTTCAATGCCTTCTTGATGGTCTTCTTCATCGAATCCTGAAACAGGTATCACTCCGCATGTAAAGAAAGTGGATTGTAAAAGGTCGAAACGCGAACTTTCCGTTGCGCACGGTGCATATAACATCCAGCACTGAGTCTTCAACAATCTCGATGGCAACGTCGGGTCCGAGCAAATCCTGAATTCGTTCTTTCATTGCTCGTGCTTGAGGACCTCCTTGTGTTCGTCCCTTATCGTCACCCTCCTCCCCTTTCAGCTTCACTTGCAGCCTCTTCAAGTTATCGAACGCCACAGGCGCTAGGCCGATCACAACAAGCTGATCTGCCATGCTTGGACCTTCCTGATCAGCAGGAACAAGAGCAGAGACGGGTTGAACGAGCGTGGTTGAGAAAAAGGGTTGATGCGTCGGAGTTTTGTTTCTGGTTGATGCGTTAAAGCAGCTCGTTACAAATGGAAGGGTTTGCGCTCGAATCGACCACGCTAAAAAACCTTGCAAACCTTGGGATTAGGGCGTGGGATCTGAAACTCTGGATGATGTTGGAACATGCTGCTCGAACGTCGGCGAACGGGACCCATTCTCACGAGGCGTATCGAATGCTCCCAAATTCCAACAGTGAACATTCGTATAAGGATGCAGAGGAACCCGGTCGCCAACACATCTTGAGCAACGGCCTGTCTATCGCAACGACTGTTCATTATCAGCTAATGAACCCTTCCCTTCGCGAAATGTGTGCACGACGAAAATCGACGACGTCGGAGATCTTCTTACAGTCGCATCAGGTCGCATACCCGAAATTCAGACACCATCCGAATTTCAAAATCTGTCACGCCGTTCGACTTTTGGGGTTCTGAATTGGGAGTTCCACGCCTTTATGCCACGCACCAGCACAAGTTTTCGCAGCCCACAACAGCTGCTTCGTTCATTTTCTCCAGTTCAGGCCAAGTTTCAAGGGCATTTGAGAACGCTCTGTTGGAGATACTTACCTGCTTTTCCTGGTGATCTATGGCACTTGTTCCACGCTCGCGGGAGATTGCGGAGAGCTGCCTAGATTTTCTCAACATTGAGCTCGTTGCCACGTACGCGCGGCAGTCCAACTTGCGACCAGAGCTCGCTGGTCGTCGAATTGAGGCCATTGGCTTTCAAGTGGGTCAACAGCTGGTCGAAAGGTAGGTGCCTCAAATCATTCTGTAAAGGAGGTTGAGCGGCGAAACCTAGGCGTGTAATTTATCGCTGATGCAATCGACGATCATGAGGGATACGGACTTATCAGTAATAAGTGGCCATCTGTCACCGAGAGAGTAAGGCCCAGAGTAGAGGCCAGTATTGAGCATGCTGCGCGGGGGTTGGCTGTGCTCCCCGCGTCTCCTTCCGACAGTATATCACCTTTCAGATCACCTGGAGCTGTGCAGTTCTTGACGAATGGTCAAGTAAATGGAATGTTAGGTATTATCCAGGCTGATAGAGTTAGAATGCGGTCATGTTGATCCGAATGCTTCAACTACAACAGCCTTTCAGTTTATTTGAGACCCTCCTCCTGGTCCTTCTCAACTGTCGTTGCATCCCGCCCTTATCCCAGGTTCACCAAGGACAGAGCCCGATTCACAGATCACTTGGATGTGATAAAGTTCATCTGCAAGGACTTTTGGGCCGAGGTGTTTAAGAAGCAAGTGGACAACCTCAAGACCAACCACAGAGTGAGAATAAGGCGCATGGCCAGCAGCAGCAAGGCATTTTTGGCAGAGGTTGCAAGCTTTAGCCGATGCAGGGACAGACAGGATAGTTGGGTCGTGAGGTGCAAGACATTAGGTGGACAGTAACGGAGAGAACAAAGCACAGTCATTACGGGAACAGTGCAAAGTTGCAATTGTCGTAAGACACCAGCACAGCAGGTAAAATGCACTTCTGATCCTGTGCAAAAAGCATAGTCGATCTAGATTGCAACACACAGTCAGCTCAGGTCATAAGACTCAGCCTGCCCTCTTCACAGTCAGCCCACAGCACTGCATACTTGGTAAAGGGTTGAGGCACAGGGGGCGTCTCAGGCAGAGTCGCCGCACACAAACGTTATGCGTGCAATGCAATGCATGTTCAGCAGTGCTTGTTGCTGTCTTGCTGAGGTGCCGAGGAAGCTGATGAATGTCCCCCTTTTCAGCCGTGGATGAAACTTTAGTCCCATCAATTTTCCCCTATCCTTCGTTATTCTCGGGCTTGCTACTCATTGCCAGTTTTCTTTGCACGTGCCTAGTCCTAGCTTAACCTATCCCTCCTTCCTTTGCGTCCTTTCGTTACCCTTCCAGGGAGTATTCGTTCTGCAAGACAACAAGTTCAGATGGCTCACGAGAATATCAGCAGATGCTCCATCGTATGACGCGCTTACGCCTCTTCCAAACCCTAGTCCCAATCTTCGATCGCCGACGGAGCGCATGGCTGGAGCTGGAGGGGCAGTGGCAGGCAGCATGAAGGCGTCTGCTGTTGCAGGGCAGTTTCTGTATCTGCCATGTGGGCTTATAAAGGGGGCGCTTACCAACCTTGGAGTACCATGCACAGTCTCGGCGGAAGTCACTACACTTCCTGGTTGTAAGTGCAATAACATTGCTGACACTTTGATGAAGTGATTTGGATGGTCACGGGCGTGATTGAGGTGTGTGCTGGGTGCTGTGGATGTCATGCGGATTCTGTTTTGAGAAATCAACTTTATTGTGTCTGAACCGAACCCATGTTTTTCACATGCCTTTCTGCCCTTGTCAGGTTCGTTCACAGTGAGAATCAAGTCATGAGCACTACCTAGAGAATGTATGCGGTGCGGGTCCGTTGTTAATTTGTACGGTATTATTCTCTTGTCTAGTTGGTAGTTAATCACGTACATGGTTGTGTCATGACTGAAGCTGTTGCTAGAAAACCAGTATAAGAAGTACACAAACTTTTTATTGTACTAGTGTTTCTCAAGGTAGGTTGGTAATAACGAGTGCACGAGCGCGCCCTGCAGGGCTTCCCTTGGGATTGGCTTCAGGATTTGAGCGCGCACGAGTTCCTGTCATTGATAACAGGGAGTCCAGGACATTTCCGCATTCACGAAGCCATATCATGGTGAAGTACCATATAGAGTGGGGCTTCAACATCGCATTCAGCTTGTTTTGAAGGGAGCTTGCTTTCATTGGTGGAGGAGATGATGGCCGAAGCAAGATCCAAGAATGTCGTAACACCTCAGGTTCCTGGGCATCAATCATCACTAGAAAAGCTTCGAGTAGCTTGGGTTGTCATCGGTTACGCGCTAAGTTCCAGTTTGCTGGCCATTGTTAACAAGGTATGCCTCCCGAACGATTTCAGTACCTCTTGATGCATTCTGAAAAGCGTCTGACCAATTTTCCGTTTCCAGTATGCAGTGACTGTTTTCCCCTTCCCAGCAATTCTCACCGCGCTTCAGTACCTAGTGTGCACCATTGTTACGCTCGTGCTGGGAAGATTGAAGGTGTTGGAGCATGATTCTCTCAGCCTGGAAAAGATTGTCAAGTTCTTACCAGCAGCAGCGACGTTTTACGTTGCCATATGGACAAATACTCAGCTCCTCAAACATGCCAACGTTGAGACATTCATTGTGTTCAGATCTTCTACACCGCTGCTTGTTGCGATAGCAGACTCAGTGTTCATGGGGAGATCATGGCCATCTGGTTTCACATTTTTGTCCTTGCTGACGATATTTGGTGGTGCTGTTGGCTACGTTTTCTTTGACACTGGATTCACTGTCACAGCGTACGCGTGGGCTTGGGCATATCTGATCGTCATCACCTTCGAGGTGAGTGTCTCTGCTCTGCTTTCATTACGCAATGGAATTGCGTGGCCTTGTTCATTATCGAGCTTTTGGTGCAGATGGTCTACATCAAGTCAGTCGTTATGAGCATAGGGCTCAATACATGGGGTCTGGTGCTTTACAACAATATGCTAGCCCTGGTAAGACTCGGTGCACCACAATCGTGAAAGTGAGCTCTCCACACCCTTGCTAATACTGTTCTCTGATACGTTGTGCAGATATTCTTCCCTCCTGCACTGATTGGTATGAATGAGCCAAGTCAAATTGCTGCCTATGGTCTGTCCCGGATATTCAGCATAGGGACTCTCTTCCCTGTTGCACTCTCCTGCATTTTTGGCCTAACCATAAGCTTCTTCGGCTTTGCTGCACGGAAGGCAGTCTCAGCAACTGCTTACACTGTTGTTGGAGTCACAAACAAGCTTCTCACTGTCCTCATTAACATGCTGATATGGGACAAGCATGCCCAAGCGCCAGGATTAGTGGCCCTCCTCGTATGCATATTTGGTGGAGTGTTATACCAGCAATCAGTTACCCAAACGCAGCCAACAAAGACCATCCCAGCTGACATCGAGTCTGTCCCTCTGAAGAGCATTAAGTCAGAATTTGGTGACGGCAAGCCTGTTGTACGAGTTCAGTCTGCTGAGGCAGCTTCAGAAGAATAGTGGATGGCAGAAAAGGTGGATATGAGTCAGTCTGTGTTGGGAGTAGGGTACGGTAGATGTACCATAGTGCAATGTACCAATCTCAGTTTCTACATGCTCCATAATGTTATATTTTCAAGCTTCAAGATCACAGTACCATGCATGGTAGGGTGGCTCTGACCTGAGCCCCAAATAGCTTCAGGTTGCTCCAGGCTTTGCGACAAGCTTCAGTCTCAAGCTCTTCCACACACTGTTATTTATAACTTGAACCAGTAACACAACCAAGAACACCACAGCAACCATTTGTCTAAAAAAACTTACTACTAACACTAGGAAATTCACAAAGATGTGGGGAGAAACGGGTCGATTGAGGTATACCTTACATGACACAAGTGATGCACTCCTCCACACATCACCCTGTCTTGGTGCAGGAGCACTGGCAGCTCATGGGGTTGCTGGCACTAGCACAGTTGCAATCGCACCTCATCTTCACGCTGCCTCCAGTTGGCGGAGGGGGGGGGGGGAGTTCCCCCCCCCGCCACCACCAGCACTAGGCAGGGCACTCTGCAGGACGCACTTGCTCTTCACGCGGTCCCAGTTAAGCTGCACCAGGAACTTCATCCCATTCAGCCCCACCACATTGTACTTGTAGCTCTGCCCGCTCTGCTGGTAACCAGTCTTTGTGGTGCCATATTCCCACGAGCATTTGTCCGCATTCTCCTCGCCGTCGTCGTCGAACCACCCCGCATTTGCATCAGGGTCGGTGGCAGCTTCGGTGAGCTCATGCGCGAGCGTGGAGATAGTAGCGTCAATACCCGGCTTCCCGTTGGGTGACGTGCTCTCTACCCCGCACGCGTCGGGGCACTGCCCACGGTGCCCCACAAAGGCATAGCGAAGAGGCGAGGAGTTGATTGAGTCTTCCGTGTGCCAGCCGCAGTACTCTGTGCAGTAGCCTTTGAGCGTGACGTCTGAACTGGTGAGCAGCACATAAATTCCGTGAGGGTCCAGCGCAAAGGGCTTGCCCGCACCGACTTTGCTCTTCACAACTGCATGAGCGGCACAGGACGGGTTAACGGTTGGGGAGGAGTGAGGGTTGGGGGGGTTGATAAGGAATGGATGCACCCATGCAAGGTGCAGAGGCAAGGGGAGAATGAGTGGCGCACATGGGGGTGGAACGGAATGAATGGTCGGTAAGGAGCAGCACGTACCGGCGAACACGTCATTGTCCGTAAGCTGCTTTTTGATTGGCTCAAAACAGAATGAGAGCAGAGTTCTGAGTCAACTAAAAAAGGAATGATTGGCCAGGAGGGAGCAGCAAGTACTGGCAGGCACATCATTGCCTGTCAGCTGCTTCTTAGTCGGCTCAAAACAGAAGGAGAGCAGAGTTATTGAGTCGACTCGAAAAGGAATGGGTGGTCGGGAGGGAGCAGCACGTACCGGCGATCACGTCGTCGTCGGTCAGTTTTTTTCCGCGTGAATAGTTGTCACTCACTGTCCCCGCGAGACGAACCTGCATTCAGGCAGATAGCCGGCAGCATGAGGAACGTGGATAAGGGAATGAATATGGACGCAGCCGAATAGCAAACACCACAGAAAGCAGCAGATGAGTGACTTGCTCCTCAATCTTCCTCTCTCACCTTGGAACTGACATTCTTCTTCCCGCCAGAGCCTGACTGGTAGTAAGCGGTACTAATGGCCCACCACCCCTTCACACTCGCGTCCGCCGCGCTGCCCTGGCTGCCCGAGTCGCTGCTCAGCGCCTGCACGAACGCGTCTATCACCTCCTTGCCCGACCCCGACCCCCAGCTGCCGTAGTAGATGTGGTAAACGTTCACCGTCGGATTTCCCACGATCACCGGCCCTCCGTGGTACTTGATTGGTGGCGCGCTGGCGGCCGGGATGACGGCAGCGGCGGCGGCGGTGGCGGCGTGGGAGGCGCCGTCAGTGACTGAGGAGCGGAGGACAGCCGACGGCTGAAACGGTCGCGCCGCCACCGAAGCCGCCGCGAAGGACGGAGGTGGAGGCGGGCTGGTGATGGTGCTGCCGCTGGTGCCCTCGCGGCTGGTGCTGCTGTCGGCTCTGCATCAGCTGTGCGTGCGCGGGGCGTGTGAGAGACACGCGCTTCTTCGGGCCGGCGATCGACTCCGATTCGGCCGGTCGAAGCGCGCCGCCGGAGACGAGAAGCAGGAGGAGCGCGAGGCGAAGAGCAGGGGAGTGAGTCGCGAATTTCGCCGCCATGCCGGCGAACGTCGTCGAATGGCGAATGGAATGTCGTCGAGAGACGCCGCAAGTCAATAGCATCCGTTTACTACATTCCACTCAATGTAGCTTTTGTTTACTACAGGCGCTCGAAGGCGTTGTGCTGATAGAAGAAGTGCCGCGACCAGGCATGCTTAAGAACATTATTAGTACCCGCAACCACGACCCGTGCAATGCCCGAAGCGCGGCGGCGCCAATCAGACAGGTAGTAGTAACGGATTGCTCGGCGGATAGTAACGGTCAGGCGCGCGGTTGCGAGTTGTTGCAGCCGTCGCCGCCGTCGCGCAACGCTCATCGTGAAATCTCCTCGTGAAAATGCGGCGCGGTTCGGTTTGGTCTCGCTCGGCAGTGCGACTTTCGGACGGATGGCTGGTGGATGAAACGCGAAGAAAAAAGGCTTTCACGTGGCAGTTGCTGGCAAAAGGCTCTCTCATTGACGTCCTCCATTCGCCATGTTTCCGCCGGTCCCTCGTCGCCACTTGCTGCCGAGCGTGGCACGACGAACGTGCTCAGCACTCGGCAGTGGCTGTGTCGCGTAACGCTATTTTCTACATAAAAGAGCAGAGCAGACATGGGATATACAACGACCCGAGTCCCGACATGGAACAGTGGAGAACAAGATGAGAACAGAGAGCAGAAAAATACGGCAAGACGGAGCAGCTGCTAGGAAGAAGAGAGAAGCAGATCAGGGAGGGAGGAAAAGAGCTGGTTCTTGGCGAATGGCGGCCAATCGCGAAAACCCTGGAGTGTGGGACACGGGTGTTCGCGAGGCAGACGCGACATTTCGACAATTCGCCAGCTACGGATGTGGGGTGGATGTACGCGTTTCTTGTGTGCTCAACAACGTAATAACCTTGGTGCTAATGTCTCGTTAATACTTGGGGCTAGACGTGAGAGTGATTGGGCTGGAGTGAGAGGTGGGGCTAGGAGTGAGTCCCCTAACCAACGTTCACCTTTGCTACAGACTGGTGGTACAAGCGAAGGATACTTGGAGAAAGAGGCTGAGAAATCAGTGCGGATAGACAAAGCATTCTTGCGTGAATAATCAGCAGCATCAGCAGTTAAGAAGACTGATGAATGACCAGCCTAGGTACAGGAAGGAGAAAAGCAGCTCCTAAAAAAACCCTCCCAGGTAAAGCCTGAACAACATTGTTCAAGGTCTTAAGGCCTGCTGCCTGTTAGCCTATGGTGCAAGAAAAACCCTGTGACCAAGGCTCTCCTGAATGCTCGCAACATGACGAATCACATCCGCCATGAAAAAGAACAAACTCGAGTCCCTCCCATCAAGCCCGCTTTTCCCAGCAGGGCTGTCCGCAGGCTGCCGGTTGTTACCAGTGAAATTAGTACACGGGCTCCCTCCGATGATCAGATCAAACGGTCCGTATTCACTCACCAACGATTCCACAACCTCCCTGTTCAAAGACCTCACATTGTGATACAGCTGCAATAACTCCCCCAGCATCTGGTTGACCCCATCCCTCCCAGCCCTCTCCTCCGCCATTGCGGTTTCCCTCCACCACCTCCCCTCGGCATCGCGGCAGCTTTTCTCAAACTCCACACTCACGGCGCAGATCACAGGGACTTTCACCATGTGGAGCGCTACTAGGGCGCCACCGATGCCTGAGAAGAGCGAGAGGACCCGGATAGGGCGGTTGAGGCGGCGCAGGACTGAGAGGTGGAGAGCGACGGTGGGCACGTGGAAGGTGTTTCCTGTGAGATGGGGCGATGGAGGGATGGGGATTGGGAGTAGCGAAATGGGGAACAGTGATTGGGGAGCAGGGAATGGGGAAGGGGAATGGGTAATGGGAATGGGGAAGGGGAATGGGTAATGGGAATGGAGGAATGGCGCCTCCATGTGGAGAGCAACCAGGGCGCCGCTGATGCCTGAGAAGAGAGAGAGGACTCGGATGGGCCGGTTGAGACGACGCAGGACTGAGAGGTGGAGAGCAACGGTGGGCACATGGAAGGTGTTTCCTGCGGGGATGGAGAAATTGAGTGATGGGGGGATGGGGGGATAGGGGGATAGGGGGATAGGGAATGGGGGATGGGGGAGCGAACAGGGGGATGGGGGAGCGAACAGGGGGATGGGAGGGGAGTGTGGGGATGGGTTGCAACTTAGCGACAACTCAAAAAGTCTTGCAGAGGTGGTGACTTTTGAGAATTCTCAAAAGTATCTTGCAGAGGTGGTGGAGGACTGAGAGGTGGGGATGTCGAAGGTGTTTCCTGGGGGAAAAAGGGGGAGCCGGGGGAGTTGGGGAATGGGTTGGAAAAATGACCAAGCTTCGTGTCAACTCATAAGTCTTGCAGAGGTGGTGGAGGACAGAGAGGTGGAGAGCGGTGGTGGGGACGCGGAAGGTGTACCATTGGGATAGGGCGATGGGGGGATGGGGGTTGGGTTGGAAACATGATAAACGTTATAAGTCAAGTGAGGAGGGATGAAGGATGCAAAGAGAAAGGAGCAGCGAGGGCAAAGAGCGAAAAGAAAAATGCGGATGAGAGTAAGGTAAGGTCGCTGTGAGAACGCAATGAGAGGAAGGTTGCTGTGAGAACGCAATGAGTGGAAGGTTGCTGTGAGAACGCAATGAGAGGAAGGTTGCTGTGAGAACGCAATGAGAGGAAGGTTGCTGTGAGAACGCAATGAGTTTTATACATCTCAAAGAGAACTGCAATGTTCATCTTCTCACTCTCATTCTCATTCTCATTCGCATTCTCATTCTCATTCGCATTCGCATTCTGATTATCATCCTCATTCTCATTCTCAGTCTCCATGGTCATTCTTACCGAGCATCTTATATCTGCTGGTCTTGTTGTTGGTGACCACGCTCACATGCCCCTCCGGGTATCCCATCAGCATCTCCAGCTGCTTCACCTTCAGCGGAGCGAGGCGGTTGCGCTCAATCCACAGCAGATTGTACCTGATTGGTTGGGAGAGGGCATTCAAAAGAGGGGCATTCGAAAAAGGGGCATTGGAAAGAGGCACGGGATTGCACTAAGTCCAGATATGGGAGTCACGCTTCTTGCCTTAGTACCCCATCTGTTCCTCCAACTGCAGAGGAGCGAGCCGGTTGCTCTCAAGAAACAGTTATTGACAAGGGACAGACCCCGTGGAACAAATGCAGCACGAGACTGTCACTGAAAGCAAAACAAAATGACATGCCATAACTCTCTGGTCAAAAGCAGGGTTCCTGATGCCTCCACTCCACACCCCACATATACACCGTTCCACTTCCACCCCACTCCACTCCTCCCCACTCCACATGACTCCACTTTAATCCATTCCGCATACACTGCTGTATTCCACTTCTCTCACCCCTCCCTCACTCCTCCCCTCTCCCTATCACCTCCTCCCCCTCTTTTCTATCACCTTCTCAAAAGTATCAACTCACTTCCTGATGCATTTCAGCAGCTCTTTTTGTGTTTCATATGGGAAGCCCATGCACAGTGGGTGTGTCTTGAGTCGACTCAAAGCACACCTCTCCCCCCTCTTCCCACCCTCCCCCATCAACTCACTTCCTGATATATTTCAGAAGCTCTCGCTGTGTCTCCATAGGAAGCCCATGCGCACCGTGCATCTGCAACTCATCATTCCACTCCTGCAGCCTCACAGCACATCCTCCCCCCCTTCCCCCCCTTCCCACCCTTCCCTCCCTCCCCCATCAACTCACTTTCTGATGTATTTCAGCAGCTCTGTTTGTGTCTCCGGAGCAAGCCCATAAGCACCGTGCATCTGCAGCTTATCGTTCCACTCCTGCAGCCTCACATCCACTCCAAACGCCTGCGTGTTAATCACATTTAGCTTTTCCCGAGGGTCCCAGCGCGGCCAAAACTGCGTCAAGCAGGGAAACGCCTCGGAGATCGTTTTCGGGCAGTTTCGAACCTCCTCGGGCAGCCACCGGCTTTGTGTGGGTAAGTTGTGGATGTACCTGTTAGGTTGAGGGGGTTGGAATAGGAGATACGGGTTAGTGGGTGGGTGGGTGGATAAGAGGAGACGAGTGGTCATGCAGGTGGGGGAAAGTGCGGAAATACCAACAGGGCTTGAAAGGAAAGAGCTTGAAAGGAAAGGCTCTGCACATGAGTGCATGAGAGAGATTCTCATGGGAGGACTAAATGTGAACAGAATAGAGGATTGAAGGACTGAAATTACTGAGTGAATGTAATAGAGAACTGAAAGATTGAAACTACTGAGTGATGTTTGGGATAGAGTTCATGTGGGAGAGAGAGAGCATGTGGGAGAGAGAGAGCATGTGGGAGAGAGAGAGCATGTGGGAGAGAGAGAGCATGTTTAGCGTTAACACACATAAAGACACACTCAACCTGCACTCACCCCCTCTTCCTGCTACACACGCCCAGATGAGCACTATTTGCGGTGACTCTTGAGTCGACTCAAAGGTCACCTCTGCTACACACGCCCAGATGAGCACTATTTGCAAACTCACATTCTTCTACGCACTATGCACACGCAGCAAACACACTCACCCCACACTCAACCCCCCATACTCACCGCACCCACACTCGCCCCACAATCACCCTCTCTTCCTGCTGCACACGCCGAGGTGAGCACTGTCAACGAACTCCACCTTGAATGGCATGCATTGATGCACACATATCCATACACACTCACTCACCCTCTCTTCCTGCTGCACACGCCGAGGTGATCATTGTCAACAAACTCCACCTTGAATGGCATGCATTGATGCAAACATATCCATACACACTCACTCACCCTCTCTTCCTGCTGCACACGCCGAGGTGATCATTGTCAACAAACTCCACCTTGAATGGCATGCATTGATGCAAACATATCCATACACACTCACTCACCCTCTCTTCCTGCTGCACACGCCGAGGTGATCATTGTCAACAAACTCCACCTTGAATGGCATGCATTGATGCACACATATCCATACACACTCACTCACCCTCTCTTCCTGCTGCACACGCCGAGGTGATCATTGTCAACGAACTCCACCTTGAATGGCATGCATTGATGCACACATATCCATACACACTCACTCACCCTCTCTTCCTGCTGCACACGCCGAGGTGATCATTGTCAACGAACTCCACCTTGAATGGCATGCATTGATGCACACATATCCATACACACTCACTCACCCTCTCTTCCTGCTGCACACGCCGAGGTGATCATTGTCAACGAACTCCACCTTGAATGGCATGCATTGATGCACACATATCCATACACACTCACTCACCCTCTCTTCCTGCTGCACACGCCGAGGTGGGCACTGTCAACAAACTCCACCGGCAGAGAGAACAGCTGGTTTGACATGTAACCCCACTCCGCATCCCTGATATTCTCCACATAGATCATGATACTCCTGGGAGCGAGCTTCAAGTCAGCAGGGTTTCGCTGGTAGGGCATGATGCGGGGAATCCCGCCGAAGCCACACATGCGCGAGAAGTTGGTATGGTTGCAGCGGAAAGGGGTTTCGGGGGTCGCCGGGTGGGTGGGGTGGATGGCTTGCATGCCGCGAGAGGAGTGCACGAGGTTGGGCGCAGGCGGAAGGTTTCGCTTCTGTGGGAGGAGAGGAGAACAAGGGACGGGAAAGGGAAAGGGGCTTCAGTGGTGGCGGGGTGGGTGGGGTTGATGCCTTGCATGCCGCGAGAGGAGTGCACGAGGTTGGGCGCGGGCGGAAGGTTTCGCTTCTGTAAGAGGATAAGGAAAGGAGGGGCAGGGGAGGCAGGGGGGGAAGGGAGGAAAGGGGGGCAGGAAGGAAGCAAGTGAGAGGGATAGAAGTTGGTGGGGTCGCAGCGGACGGGCGTTTCGGGGGTCGCGGGATGGGTGGGGTGGATGGCTTGCACGCCGCGAGAGGAATGCACGAGGCTGGGCGCAGGCAGGGGGGGTCGCTTCTGTGGGAGGGAGGGAGGGAGGGAGGGAGGGGGGGTAGAGAGAGAAAGGGGAAAGGTGGAAGACGAGATGAGTGCACGACTTCTGGGAAGGGACGAAGGGAGGGAGGGAGGAAGGGAGGGGAAGGGGGGAGAGCGGGGGGTGGGTGGCTGAGAGGGCGGCTGAGAGGGATTGTTTTCCAGGATGCCATGGGCGGATGGTTGGGTGCCGTAAGAGGGGTTTCGGCTGTAAGCATTTGTTTGACCTCTTGCCTTGGAAGCATTTCCCAGTCCACCACTCGCCACACTTGCCTTGGAAGCATTGCCCAGTCCACCACTCTCCACACTTGCCTTGGAAGCATTTCCCAGTCCACCACTCGCCACACTTGCCTTGGAAGCATTTCCCAGTCCACCACTCGCCACACTTGCCTTGGAAGCATTTCCCAGTCCACCACTCGCCACACTTGCCTTGGAAGCATTTCCCAGTCCACCACTCGCCACACTTGCCTTGGAAGCATTTCCCAGTCCACCACTCGCCACACTTGCCTTGGAAGCATTTCCCAGTCCACCACTCGCCCTGCGCTTCTGACCCGCTGCTCCCCCAGCCATACCACTCAGCATCTGCAGCAGCAGCATCTACAGTACCTGCAGCAGCACCTGCATCACCTGCAGCACCCACTCACAGCACCTGCATTGCCCCTCCCACCTTCGACAACGCAAGAATGTGAGTTACTTGCCTTGGACGCATTGCCCAGTCCACCACTCGCCCTGCGCTTCTGACCCGCTGCTCCCCCAGCCATACCACTCAGCATCTGCAGCAGCAGCATCTACAGTACCTGCAGCAGCACCTGCATCACCTGCAGCACCCACTCACAGCACCTGCATTGCCCCTCCCACCTTCGACAACGCAAGAATGTGAGTTACTTGCCTTGGACACATTGCCCCTTCCACCACTCGCCCTGCGCTTCTGACCCGCTGCTGCCCCTGTCACACCACTCACAGCACCAACACCCCCAACACCACCCACACCCCCAACACCACCCACACCCCCAACACCACCCACACCACCCACACCACCAACCCCATAGTCATCCTCACCCTCCTCCTCCTCCTCCTGCTCATCATCCCACCAATTGCCATCACCCGCACCACCACCAGCAGCAGCACCACCACCGAAACCACTAATACCACCATTCCACTCCCCTCCTCCTTCCTCCTCTTCCTCATCTTCCTCCTCATCCCACCAATTTCCCTCCTCCTCTTTGCATTTCCCCACTCCCCTTCCGTCTCCACCGCCCTTCACTCCCCCTCCTCTCCCTCCTCTCAACCCCCCTCCTCCGAACCCTCTCCCTCCCCCCAATCCTCCCCAACTCCCTCCCTCCCACCCCTCCTCCTTCAAACCTCCTGCCACGCTGTCACGCTGAGTCAGCATCCGTGCCAGCTGTCGCTCTACCCCTCCCTTACCAAAACCCCCTGCCCCCACCGTCCCCATACCACCACCTCTGGCTGTATTGTTCCCCCACCGCTCACCACCGCATCCAACCCCGCTGTCCCACCCCTCATCACCACCCCTAGCTGTGTTATTCCCCCACCGCTCACCACCGCATCCAACCTTGGTACCCCACCCATCACCACCACCCCTGGCTGCGTTGTTCCCCCACCGCTCATCACCGCATCCAACCCTGCTGGGCCCCGCCTGATCGCTGGGTCTAAAGGGTGCTGCTCTGGGTGCTGGGGAGTGAGGTGGAGCACGTGAGACTGCTGAGGTGGTGGGTGGACGGGTGAGGCCCGAACCACCTAAGCCTGGTGGAAATGAGGGGAAGAGGGGAAAAGGGGAAGGGATGGGAACAGGGGAAAAGGGGAAAGGAAGGAAACAGGGGAGAAGGAAACGAAGTGTAATAGCATCTGTATCCGCGCCAAAGGAAGGATAAGTGGGATGAGGTAACGGGGAAAGTGGAATAAGTGGAAAGTGGGAAAGCGATGAGTGGGGGGGATAGTGGGAAGAGGGGAAGGCGAAAAGCAGGATAAGCTAGTGGAAGTGGGATAAGTGGGAAAAGAGGGAAGAGTGGGGATAAGTGGGAAAAGAGGGAAGAGTGGGGATAAGTGAGAAGAGTCGGCTCACCAAAGTTGGATGCCCCATCCTCGTCTTCATTCAACCAGCCTCCCACGCCCCTCCCTTCTGCTCTCCCACCTGCCCTCCCATTAGCAGCACCAGCAGCACCACGAGCAGCAGCAGCAGCACAGCCACTACTTCGAACAGCAGCACCAGAATAAGCGCCTGCACCACCCCTGAAACCACCAACTCCGAAACCACCACCCCTGAAACCACCGCCGCCAACACCACCACCAACACCACTGCCAACACCGCCACCAACGCGACCCCATCCTTCTCCGTACTTCCCTCCTTCATCCTCACCATAACCTCCCCCCTCCTCCTCCTCATCTTCCTCCTCCTCCTGCTTCTGCTCCTCTCCCTCTCTCTCCTCCTCTTCCTCCTCTTCCTCCACCATCCTCTCATGCACCTCAGCAGCAGCAGCAAAATCCACAGCCTCTGCCACCCACCGCTCCAGCTCCCACCCCCCCATCCTCGCATCCTTCCTTGTCCTCTCTACAATCTTCCTCGCTTTCCTCTCTTGCATCCCCATAGTGCCCATCAACCATTCTGCCACTGCCTCTCCAGTGTTCTCATCAAACTTATCCCTTTGCTCGTGTTCGTTCCCAAGCCCCCCGTTCTGCTCGTTCTCACCACCACCAAACCCACCCCTTTGCTCGCTCCGACCAGCAAACCCAGAATCAAAGCCTTTCGTTCCCAATTCGGCTGCCCCCGTCCCTCTCTCATCCCCTTCCCCTCTTCCCACTCCCCCTCCCCCTCCCCCTACCCCTCGCCCCAGCCCTCTTTCTTCCGCTCCCCATACCCCTACTAATGCTCCTCCCCTTTCCCCTTCCCTTCCAACTCCAAATCCTGCTCCTGCTCTCTCTTCTGTTCTCACTCCACCAAATCGCACCACACCACCTCCCACCGCACCGCCTCCCACCGCACCAATTCTCTCCCCACTCTCCACCCTCTCTTTCTTCACTTCAACCACATCACCATCCCCATCACCATCCCCATCACTATCAGAATCTTCATCCTTCTCCTCCTCAACCTTGTATTCGCTATCACTACCATCATCACTACCATCACTATCATCACTATCATCACTATCACTATCAGCTTCCTCCTCCTCATTATCCTTCCGCATACTCGCCCCAGCCTTCCTTCTCTCCCTCTCCTCCTCCCCCTTCCCCTCTCCTCTCTCGTTCCCCTCACCTCCTTCTCCCTCCTTTCCTTCCTTTCCCTCCTCTTCCTCTTCTTCCTCCTCTTCCTCCTCCATATCCCCCTCCCTCACCTCCCCCTCCTCTCTCTCCTCAGCCTTCACTCCTGCGATCTCTTGTATTCCTCCATCCGCCACTGTCCCCACCTTCCCCAACTCCCCCACTCGTCCCACCTCCCCCTCTCTCCCCCCCATCACCACATCCTCTACTGGCTCCGCTTTCACTCTCACCTGCAAACCACTCACTCTCTCTGCCTCTTTCACTCCCCCCTTTACAACAGTTCCCCCCTCTCTCTGCTTTGCTGGTGTCTCAGGACCCTTAGCACCTCCCTCTCTTGACTCGTTCACTCTCAGTCCTTCTTTCTCCTTCACTCCCTCTTCAGCTTTCCCTCTCAGTGGAGCACCGCTCACGCCCACACTCCCTTCGTCCTCCAACCATTCGTTCACAGCACCAGCATAATCACCCACAGGAGCAGCAGCACCACCACCACCAGCAACACCAGCACCAGCATAATCACCCACAGGAGCAGCAGCACCACCACCACCAGCAACACCAGCACCAGCATAATCACCCACAGGAGCAGCCGCAACAGCACCACCAGCAACACCAGCACCAGCACCTGCAAAAGCACCAGCAGCAGCAGCAGCACCACCACCAGCAGCAGCAGCACCAACACCCCCACCAGTAGCCATTCCTCCTGCTGCCTCCTGCCTTTTCACCTCCTCCCCACCCTTAGTCACCCATATCAGCGGGGTAAAACCGCTTCTTCCCTTTGCACCCACCCGACCATCAGCACCAGCATCCATATTCTTTGCCCCTGCCTTCACCTTCTGAGGCCTTGCATCACTCAAGGGAATGAACCCAATAGCCCCATCGTCATCCCCATCACTCTCATCACTACCACCATCACCATCACCACCAAGGCCCCTTTCCCCTCTATAACCCCTGTCATCACCTCTTGCAGCAGCAGCCACCCCATCTCTCCCACTACCACCTTTCCCCTTGGCTGCTTTCCCATCCCGTCCCTCCTCTCTCCCACACTCCTCCCCTCCTTCCCCGCACTTAAGCAATCCATTCCTACCGTTCCAAATCCCTCTCTTGCTGGCGACAGCAAGCCCTCCCTCCCCTCCTCCGACACCCTTCTCCTCTTCTCTCACTCCCCGCCCCTTCTCCTTCCCACTCTCTCTCCCCCATCCTCCTGTCCCTTTCGCCTCCTCCTCCTCTTCCTCCTTGCCCTCATCCTCCTCCCCAATCAACAGCCTCCCTCCCCTCCGTATCCCTCCCTCTCCTGCTCCCCATCCCTGAGCTCTCTCTTCCTTCCCCCTCCCCACTCTCTCTTCCTTCCCCCTCCCCACTCTCTCTTCCTTCCCCCTCCCCACTCTCTCCAACACTCTCCTTAACTCACCAACAGCCCCAATCAGCCCATCACACCCCTGTCTCCCACACCAAACACACCCCCAGCTCCCCCTCCCCAACCCCTCCTCTCCCTCCTCTCCCTCCCCGCTTCCTTCCCCCACTCCCTCCTCGCTCTCCCCTCCTCTCCATCCCCTCGCAGCCCCCTCCAGCAACCCACACACCGCCTCTCTCTCGCTCGCCAGCATATCTCCCATAGACCTCGGCCACACAAAGCAAAGCCCCCTCACTCTTCTCCCACTCATCCCCCCCACCACATCCCCAAAGTGAGTGACTCTCCTGCTTCTACTGCTGCTCCTCCTGTATCCGCTGTGTCTGCTCCCTGTCCTGTGCCTGTGCTGCTCGTGCCAACACACCCCTTCTCTCCGTCTCCCTATTCCTGCTTCCGCCACCACTTCTTTTCCTTTCCGTTTGTCTCGTCCCTCTGCCCCTCCCTTCCCACACACAACATCCATGCCTGTCTCTCCATTTCTCCTGCCTCCCTCCCCCCGCCTATCCTTTTTTTCACAATCATCCCACATCCTGGCAACCCACTCCTGTACCAGATCCGCCCCTTGCCACCGCACCCCACCCCACTCCACACCTTCGCCCCCCTCCTCCCCAACCCCACCTTCTCCTTTCCTCCCGCTCCCACCCCTCCTCCCACACATAAATCCACACAACGCCGCCCCACTACAGCGCAACCCACCAGACACACCTGCCCCACCCCCACCCCCGCCTCTCCTCCCCAATCCTCCTCTCCCCTCCTCCCCTCCTCCCTCCTCCTCTCCCCTTGCTCCTCCCCGTTCCACACTCACACCCGGAAGCAGCAACCCATGCAGCACAGCCCAAGAAAGGAGAGGGGTGGATAGGAGGCGAGGAACAAAGCTCTCATACTCTATGTCTGGTGACTGACAGACATATAGAGCAAGAGGTGAGTGTAAAATAAGGGTTGGAGGCGCTTCAGGGTCACAAATCGGTGAAACATGAAACCCTATAACGAGTATGGGCTCGTGAACCTTCACTAAAATCGCGTCCTCAGGACCCGCACCCCCACCCGAGCCTCTACCCCCGTTTTTGTCACATCCTGCCGAATCTGCGCCTTGCAGTTGAACTTGGGAGATTATCCCCCATACTGCAAGCCTCCCTTGCTGTATAGCACGCAGGGACAGCTCGCAAGATCGAGAAGGGTCAACGTCTAGATTGACCACTTTGAATTTGTTCAACGAGCGAACAGGCTTGCGATCAGAAAGAGACGGGAACGGTTTAGGAGGGGACTGAGAGGATGAGGGGATAGGTGGTAGTGCTGCTGCTGCTCCTGCTGTCCCTGCTGCCCCTAATGGCCCTGCTGCTCCTCCTGCCCCTGCTGTCCCTGCTGCCGCTGATGCTCCTTCGAACGGAAACAGCGCTTCAAACAATCCTTCCTCTGCCCCCTCTGCCTCACCCCCTGTGAGTGCTAGCGCCATGTCCTCATCTGGTACCCCCACCACCTCTCCCTCTGCCTCTGCTGCTGCCGCTCCTGCTGACGCTGTCGCTGCTGCTGCCACTCCTGCTGCTGGTGCCGTTGCTGCTGTCGCTTCTGATGCCATTCCTGTGGGTGCTGCTGCTGCTGATCTTGCCATGCCTGGGAAAACGTGGAAAGAGGGGGGCGTGGAGGAGGAGCGCGAGTCGGAAAATGGGCATGGAACGTGGGGAGATAGGGGGTTGAGTAGGAGCATAGAAGGCGAGCAACGTAGGATAAGAAGAGGGGCACAGAGGCAGCAGACCAGCAGAGCACAGGAGGAGAGCGAGGCGGAAGATGGGCATGGAACGTGGGGAGATAGGGGGTTGAGTAGGAGCATAGAAGGCGAGCAACGTAGGATAAGAAGAGGGGCACAGAGGCAGCAGACCAGCAGAGCACAGGAGGAGAGCGAGGCAGAAAATGGGCATGGAACGTGGGGAGATAGGGGGTTGAGTAGGAGCATAGAAGGCGAGCAACGTAGGATAAGAAGAGGGGCACAGAGGCAGCAGACCAGCAGAGCACAGGAGGAGAGCGAGGCAGAAAATGGGCATGGAACGTGGGGAGATAGGGGGTTGAGTAGGAGCATAGAAGAAGAAGAGCAACGCAGGATAAGAGGAGCACAGAGGCAACAGACCAGCAGAGCACAGGAGGAGAGCAGGACGGTACTGGCAGAGCAGAAGAGTTGAAGAAAAGAGGAGCATAGGGGCAGTGGAGCAGCGCAGAAGAGGAGCACAGAAGCAACAATCTCTCACTATGTTTTGCCCTGTATTAGTGGGGCAACAGGCAGTGCAGGCTTTCCAAGGTCATTTCAGGCTTTCTGAGGTGCAGGTCGACAGCATGTGAGTCTCTTTACAGCGGGGATTTACCGGGCATTTCCGTTTCGGTTCAAGTTAGAAGGGTGTGAGACTCACTTATGAGGGCTAGAGGGGCGTGTTTTGCGAACTCATCCTACGAAATATATTTTCCCAACGACGGATGTTCCGTGTGTGTTCGTCCTACAGTTATCTAGTCACTTCGAGCTTCGAATGTACGTCACTGACGTTCGTTTAACATAATATCGCCCGTTTCCCGTGCGATACGTCGTTATCGTTCGCACTAGGACGCACTAGGTCGATCTTAATGCGGCACACTGAATGACGACCCGGCCTACGAAATTCTAAGCGCCTCACATATCGCCTTCCTAGGCTTACCTACACGTGGCGTCGCCCGGCCTTGCAGCCTGCCGGTTTCGAGCGGCCGGCAAGGTCGTCTGTGGTTCTGGATTGCCAGCAGGTGCACTATCTATGTACTTATGTCAGCTGTTGTTCCCGCAGGAGTTTGAAGGAGGTGGGCATACATTTGGCGTGGAGACGCCCGAGTTTGTACTTTGAGAGGTTGTACACGGTATTCTGTGTCAGAACGGTTTATACTACGGTGCGAAGAGGATCTGAAGTCATCACACGAAATAATGTCCTACGTATGTGCTTGCTGTGAGTGGTGGTCAGTGAATTGAGCAGGCAGTATTCTATCGAACCATTTTATGATCATAATGGAACGCGCCAGAACGTGAAGAATCTCTCTTAGCCGCATTCGAACAAATCTTTGGAGCGGGTTCTCTCAGCTCAAGAAGCCCCAAGCGAGTTTGTCGCAGGCCAAACATTTTTCGTCTACAGATTTTGGGCTATTCGTAGCCGTCAGATCAGAAGCTTAAAGCCCGCGTCCCAAATTGCGGGCCGCGAGGGTCAAGTTTTTAAAACTTGCAAGCTTTTGAAAGTCATGCACTTGCAATTTGGGACTTCCGAAGACAGATTTACTCACCAGGGGGAAAACCGAGGGTTGGCTGGGTCTCGCGAAAAAAACGAACCTAGACGAAATCGGAAACTCTCGCCAAAGCCCACACCAGAAAAACTCCCTCTGGTCAACTTTTAAAAGCATGAACAATTTGGGCCGCCGGCTTTAATGTTCTCTATTATAGATTTTGTAATCCAGTTACTGGGAAACACATGATCGCCTGCGAACACAACACTCGTCGCACAACCTCCATTCTTCACACTGTGCGTCATTCAACGGTCACCTCGATTGCTGCGGAAATCGCCCAAGTCCAACAAGTCCAGCCTTGGGATGATTTCGGGACTTCCGTTGGAGTGAAGCTCATTCCTGGGACAGCAACCTCCGCTGCTCGTCGCCTTCACGTCAGCCTCCAGACTGATCCATTTTCAGCGTCCCCGCCTTGCATTTGGCCAACGTGCACCACAGATTGTACTGCACGGACGTCACAGATTCCATAGTTAAGGTCCAAATATTGACTGTGGTTGAGTGGCAAAGCAGCATCACCAACGCAGCATTCACCTCCACAGAGGCTCATCTTCAGTGCGACTTAAATCTCATACTTCAGAGGCGCTTCGAAAGCCAACCTAGCAGTCAGCTCCAGAGGCTCATCTTCAGTGAAACTTCAGTTTATCTACGGTTGAAAACTCTCTTCCCGTAGACTGAGTCCTTCTCACTAGTAATAAAGGCGATATTCGACGAATGGCTCGCATTCGTCCGACATTCGTTCTGTTCGGCGACTCGCTGACGCAGCACTCGTTCAGCGAAGGCGGGTGGGGAGCGGCGCTGCAGAACCAGTACGCGCGCAAGGTGAGCCTCTTCCTCCTCACCTTGCACTGATCTCCTTCCTGAAATCCCTAAAAAACGACGATCCACGGTTCAGCTGATCCGGGCTTTTATCGGGTATAGGAATCCGACGACTCAGCGAATTCGCGTCGCTTCCAGCGTTAACTGAGACGGAATGGCCGGCACCCCGTCTCCTGCCAAATCAAGACCTGCTACCACCGACGCGTCTCGTTATCGCAACATGACTGCTGGGTCCCCGTCGCTGCACCATCGAACTCCCCACTCGCCTGAAGGCCCCTCCTCCCTTCCTCCAGACCAGCAGCAGCAGCAGCCACAGCCATTTTATCTCCATCAGCAGCAGCAGCAGCAGCAGCAGCATCATTCGCAGCAAGAGCAGCAGCAGCATAAGCTGGAGCGCCAGGAGCACCAATTCCATCAGTCCCGTCAGTCTCACACGATGGAGCATCTCCACAGACCCACGCGCTCCCACCCCTTCCTCCACTCCTCCACCTCACGATCCCTCTTCCACAGTCCGAGTCAAAAGAACTCCGTACCGTCTTCCAACCCTTCTCTCCCTTCTCTCCCCCGACCTATACCCCTTCTCCCTCCCTCTCTCCGCTTCCCCTTCCGCTCTCCCCTCGCCTCCTGCATCCTCGGAGCACTGCTCTCTCAGCTGCTCTCCCTCCCCTTACTCTTCCTCCTGCTGCCGCTGCCTCCCCGTCTGCCCTCATACCACCAGGCTCCTCCTTTCCAGCCTTTTCCCGCGACCTCTTTCTCTCACAAACTCGATTTGCGGCGCTGGTTCGGTTTAGGCCAGCAGCAGCAACAGTGGCAGCAGCAGTGGCAGCAGCAGTGGCCGCAGCAACAGCAACAGAAGCACTACCATCAGCAGCGGCAGCAGCAGGTGTACCCGCCTCATCACCCCCCTGCACATCTACCCGCACCTGATCGCCCTTCCCCTGATTCAACCTCCCTGGATGCACGTGAAAAGAGTGGCACTTTGTCAAGTGAAGGGAGGGAGGGAGCAGCAGCACAGGAGAGCGGCTCTCTGACAGGTGAAGGGAGGGAGCGGGCAGCAGTACAAGAGCAGAGCAGCACTCAGTCAAGTGAAGGGAGCGAGGTGGCGGCTGCATGTGAGGGAAGGAGGACCCTGTCATGTGAAGGGAGGGCGGGAGCAGCAGCACGGGAGGAGAGCTCTCAGCCTATGGCAGGGCAGAGTGCTGCTGCTCTGGCACGAGGTGCACTGGGGGGGCGACGGAGGGCTCAAGACAGGGGGGCACTGCCATTGTCACCATCATCGTCAGAACCATCTTCTTTATTGTCATCTTCATTAGCAGCAGCAGCCACAGTAGCAGAAGCAGCAACAGCAGCAGAAGCATCGGCAACAACAGCAGCGGCGGCAGCGCATGTGGCGATGCCACCACCAGCAGCAACATCACGCTGGTCCCGGCCTGCCTTTGTGCTGTTTGGTGACTCGCTCACTCAAAGGTCCTTTGCTGGAGGCGGCTGGGGGGCTGCTCTGCAGAACCAGTATGCCCGCAAGGTGGGGTTGTGAAGGGGTGTGGTGTGGTGTGGTGTGGTGAGGTGTGGTGTGGTCCCAGCCTGCCTTTGTGCTGTTAGGTCAATCTCTCACCCAGAGGTCTTTTAGCTGGAGGGGGCAGCTCTGCAGAACCAGTATGTTCGCAAGGTGATCCCTTTGCAAGGTGATCCCTGGAACACAAAAACGCAATGAACACAGCGCCCTGTCTTTGCGTTCGCTCGGTGACTTTTGAGTCGATCCAAAAGCCATCTGCAAGAAGAGGTGTTGGAACACAAACGGAATCATCACAGCGCCTCGTCTTCGCGTTCGCTTCTACTCTCTCGCTTGCACGCGGACGAGGTGTGCCTGGGTTACCGCCATTGACGGGGCACATGCAATGCAACAACGCAAGGTGACTCCAAACACCAACGCCCTGCCTTCACATCGTTCGGTGCTCTTGCTGTGTGCTATGTGCAGGCGGACGTGGTGTTAAGGGTTTACAGCTGGAGAGCAAAGCTGGAGAGGTTACAACACACACTGGGTACTCCTCCTTCCTCCTCCCCGAGCTCTCGCTTTTCTCTTTGCTCTTTGCTGTGCTGCGTGCAGGTGGATGTGGTGTTACGGGGTTACAGCGGGTACAACACCCGCTGGGCACTCTTCCTCCTACCCAAGCTCTTCCCCAAGGTAAGAATTCTCAAGGTAAGAATTCTCAAGGTGAGACTTTCCCAAGGTGAGACTTTCCCAAGGTGAGACTTTCCCAAGGTGAGACTTTCCCAAGGTGAGACTTTCCCAAGGTGAGACTTTCCCAAGGTGAGACTTTCCCAAGGTGAGACTTTCCCAAGGTGAGACTTTCCCAAGGTGAGACTTTCCCAAGGTGAGACTTTCCCAAGGTGAGACTTTCCCAAGGTGAGACTTTCCCAAGATGAGACTTCCTCAAGGTGAAATTGATCCGAAGGCGAGACTGATACTGCTGCCCAAGATCTTTCCAAAGTACACCTCTTTCAAAGTTCGTCCACCATTCATCATCTGCGCTGTTGTCCTTGATACAATCGCACGAATTACAGGGTGACACCCTACTTGGCCCCGCTTTCTTCCATGCATGATGCATCCCATCCAGCATCAACGCAGCACGGTGACACTGACACATCACACAGCACAGTGCGTCAACCATGTATGCTGCCCTGCCCTTCTCTCCCATCCATATGACCGTACCCCTGGTTGCAAATATATCAGGGTGACACGTCGATTCCTCCTCCCGCGCTGGTGACTGTCTTCTTTGGCGCCAACGACGCTGCGCTGCCAGGGAGAATGAGCGGCAAGCAGCACGTGCCGATCCCCGAGTTCAAGGAGAACCTGCGAGTCATAGTCACTCACCTGCAGGTATGCATTGAGATTTGACTGGGGCATCTGCCGGTGTGATGTGCGGTGTGCAATGGTTGCTCTATAAGCTGAAGCAAATGTCAGTGAAGTCAGAGCAGCAGTAAACAGCACAGCACAGCACATGCCGATTCGAGAGTTCAAGGAGAACCTGCGAGTCATAGTCACTCACCTGCAGCCTGCAAGTATGCACCCTGGTATAGGGTTCTGATCCGCATCACTGCTCCAGCTCTCGTGCTCATCTCATCTCCCCTCCCGCCACCCACCTTGCCCCCATTGAACACTCCAAACATTAGGTCCCAACTGTGTGTGTCGTGCTCATCACTCCCTCTCCTTGCTTTATGCTCTCCTCACCATCCCCCTCTTTCTCCCCTCACAACCCCCTCCTCCCCGCACAGCCACTGGGTCGCAACATGTTTGTCGTGCGTGCTCTTCACTCCATCCCCTTGATTCATGCTCTCCTCACCATTCCCCTCATTCCTCTTTCCCTTAATATCCCCTCCACCTACCTCCAGTCGCTGGGCCCCAACGTGCGTGTGGTGCTAATCACGCCACCCCCTGTGGACGAGCCTGGTCGCATGGAGTTCGCCAAGTGAGTCCCTACTTGAGGGCCTAGTGGGTTGTTCGGAAAATGGAGGGTTCTGTTCTACCCTCGAAGACTGTTTTGTTCACATGCAGTGTTGCAAGGCCGCCTGCCTGGTGCTCCTGAGTCATTACATTGAATTGTGGACGAGGCTGGTTGTATGGAGTACGCCAAGTGAGTCCTATCTTGGGGTTGTATGGAGGTACTCAGAATTCGTCACATCTTGCACGTGTTTTCACATGTGAATGAAGGAATGCCTTAAAATTTCTAGTCCAACTCTCTCTCCTCCTTTCCTCGGGGCGATGTATGGAGAGCAGTGCATGAATGAAGGAGCTGGAGCGAGCTTGCAGCAGCCCTCTTTAAAGCCAGGATCTCAAGTAAGAGTATTTGGCATCAACTGCAAAACAATTGACGCTAGGGTCACCCTGTTTGAGTGGGCGAAGTGGAGTGACGGGTTTGGGGTTGACCGTTTGTGCAACAAATTCCCTGTTTTTGCCCGTGCTTCAATTGCAAAACAAATTGCTGGGGACTTGAGACTTTCGGGAATCTGAAACATTTGCTGGTACTTTAGCTTCGGCCCCGAACCAGTTTCCATGCCTAGATGGTTCGGAAACAACCTGCGACTTGTTTTTTCCTTGCACCCCTCGCTTCACTCTTCGTCAGCTTCTGCACCTCGCCATCCAATCCCAGCCTTGCACTATTCACCAACTGCAAAACAAATGAATTACTTGAGATCCTGGCTTTAAGCCTCAATCCAATTCTTTCTCCCCTCTTCTCAGAGAAATTTACGGTAAGCAGTGCATGAAGGAGGCGGAGCGCACGAACGAGGTGACGGGGGCAAGTATGCGACAGCGGTGAGGGAGGTGGCAGAGGCGTGTGGGGGCGTGCCTCTCATGAGGGAATGCTGCTCTATCACTAATCCCACACACCGACTCTTCCCCCCTTGTTCAGAGAAATGTGCGGGCGGTGTTCGCCAGCACATTCGAAAATAGATGGCATTTTGACGGCATCGGCATGGTGACCGCATCTGGAAACGGGGGCGGAACCGCCCAAGAGGTGTGGGCGCGATGCGGTCTGCGAAACTTCGATTCCCAAAATGGGAAAATTCGCAACCGCATATGGAACCCCCAGCCCCACCTTCCGTTGTTCCCCTCTGCCGTGCAATGCCACAGCCATGCCATCGCCATTCACCGTGGATAGGTGAATGGCGATGGCATCGCAGGGGGATGGTTTTTGCCAGGGGAGGAAACTGCGACCCCGTTTCCATATGCGGTCAAGCATTTCGAAATGGGTGAAAATTGGGGGCGTTCGCCACACCCTCACTTTTCTAAGAGGTTCGGACGGCATAAGAGGCTCGGCAGCATTTTTACGGGCTGACCAGGCTGACGGAGGTTAACGAGCCCTAACTGACGGGATCGGGAAGGCGAGACTTACCTTCCTGATCCCGTCGTCATCCCCTCGTTTTTGCTTAGAAATGTGCTGGCGAACACCGCCACGGTGAGCAGTGCATGAAGGAGCCGGAGCACTTGATTCCCACATGTTCCTCATCCCACTTCCTTGCTCTCTCCCCTCTCTTCTCAGAGAAATGTACGGTGAGCAGTGCATGAAGGAACCGGAGCGCACGAACGAGTTCACTGGCAAGTATGCAGGAGCGGTGAGGGAGGTGGCAGAGGCATGTGGGGGCGTGCCTGTTATTGACCTCTGGACCGTGCTGCAGCAACAACCCACCTGGCAGGCCCTGCTCAGGTCAGCACATGCACACATATGTGTGCGCGCACCCTCTTGTGCTGGTAAACGCACGAAGGAGGTGACAGGTAAGTGTGTGGGGTGGTGAGGGCGCTGAGGGAGGTGCCAGGGGCGTGTGGGGGCGTGCCTCTGGGGTCCGTGCTGCCGCAACAACCCCACCTGGCACTCCCTGCTCTGTACAACTTTCTGTTGTCACACTCCAGTAACACATATCTTTTTGCCCCGTGTACACCCGTTTTTCTTTATGTTCTCTGTTTTCTCGTTCCAGCGACGGGCTCCACCTGGCTCCTGGGGGAAACAAGGTGTTGTTTGAGCAGCTGTCGTCGCTTCTCCAATCAAGTGCTGATTGGACGCCACCTTTGGTGCAAGAGAGCATGCCGTGGGACTTTCCAGAGCATATCAATATTGATGGTGAAAATCCTGGAAATGCATTCAAGGACTTCTAAGTAAATGTACTATGAGAATGTTTTCTAACATCAAAGATATGCATGTAAGTGTTGATTGATTGGTTTATGTGCCAGTGTGGTGCTTGTGCAACCATGGTATGGTTTCATTGGTCCAGACGGCCTTAATCTTGCCTGCTCTAACCTGCCCACCTTGTGTATGCAGATTAGTGGTAAGCACAGAAAGGTGTTAAAGCTGCGGTCTACATACCAAAGGGTATTTTCTGGGGGTATTTCGGGTGCACACCCTAAGACGCAGTCTGATTTGCACACGAAATGATCCCTTGCCAGAAATGAGAGCGCGAAGGATTCAAACACAATTGGCGAATCCCGCCAGTTTCGTGCAAGGTTTGGTTGGGGGGGTACTTTTTGTTGGGCTGAAACGCCCTAGGATCTTTGTAGAGTTAAAGTCTGAGTAGATGTTGTAATAGCGGAAGCGTTGAATAAAGCTCTTGAACCACCTTGCGCTAGTATGTGAGGGCAAAGTAAGTTGATAAAAGCAAAGAGATACAATAATATAAATAGATGAGTACAGAGAATATGAAGAGACATTATAACTAATTTTACTGTTGCGGTTCGATACAGTGCGACTCGGGCAACTGCTCAATGTCGAGTCAGTTGTTTGTCCTTGCTGTCGCGCTACGTCAGGTCAAAGGTCGCTGCCCTTTGACTTTCCCGTAACCTCCGACGGTTACGTTAACCTCGTTGGTTGACTCGCGCTGCTTCGACTTGAGCTGCTTCGTTTTGTGTCTTGAGTACTGACACGACAGAGGCGCTTAACTTATTTGTTCCCAACACTCCCCTTCGCTTCTGGAGTGTCGCTGATGGTGACGTGGCTTTGTCCAGTCAGCAGCATGCAGTACTCGAACTTCTGTTTTCCAAGTTTCTTGGTCAAGTAGTCGGCTGCCATCTCGGACGTGGGACAGTAGGATAGATCGAGTTTCCCTTTCTCGATTTCGTCTTTCACGAAGAAGTATCGCAGGGCGATATGCTTCGTTCTGTTCGCGAATCCGCTCTTGTTGGCGATGCGAATTGCGGATTGGTTGTCGCAGAACAAGGTCAAGTTGGGTAACTCGGCTAACTTTGCTTCTTCCAGCAGCTCGCGAAGGTAGAGTCCTTCCTTGGTGGCTGAGCAAAGGGCGATATATTCTGCTTCAGCTGAGGAGAGCGCAATTAGTTCCTGCTTGCTCGATTGCCAAGAAATAGGTCCGATAGGTTCTAGGCGATAGATGTAGCCAGTGCGAGAGTGCCTGTTATCTGAGTCGCCGGCGTGATCGGCATCGACATAGCCGATTAGTTTCGCCGGCGTAGTTGTGTCTTTGTAGTACGTCAGGCCGATCGTTGCGGTGCTCACGAAGTAGTGAAGAGCACGGTCGAGTTCTGCTAGGTGTTCTGCTTCGGGCCTCTTGAGATAGGTAGCGAGTTGGCTAGCGGAGTAGGACAGGTCTGGGCGGCAAGTGATGGCTGCGAAGAGCAGACCGCCCAGTTTTCGCTGGTAGTCGCGTATTCCGGCGGTCTTAAGTAGGACGGAGCTTCCTTTGCCGTTTCCTGCCGTGTAGCGGTATGGCGTGTGGGTAGTAGCAGGTGTGAGTGCGAACCGTTTGGCGATGGTGTCGGCATACTTCTCGGCGCTGAGATAGATCGCATTTTCTTCTTCGCGAATGTTGAGCCCGAGATACTGAGTGACGGTAGTGGAGACCGTGAGTGTGAGGTCCTTTTTCAGCTCCCCTTCGAACCAGGTAGCGATGTCGTCGGTAGAGCCGATGTAGAGTAGATCGTCGACGTAGACAATGAGCAGGATGTAGTTGGCGCCTTTGGTGAGTCGATACATGCCTTGATCGTGAGGTAGTTGACGGAATCCGATGCGGATGAGGCGGGTGTGTAGGTGCTGTTGCCACAGTCGTGGGGCCTGTTTGATACCGTAAAGCAATTTTAGTAGTTGACAGACCTGATTGGGTTCCCCGTGAGTACCGTGAGGGAGCTCGACGAAGATTTCGGCGTCGACGGGTGCGTAGAGGAAAGCGTTAGCGACATCGATTTGTCGCAGTTTCTTCTTCTTCATGGCGGCGATCGCAAGGAGGATTCGGAGAGAGGTGTGTCGGCTAACCGGGGCGAATGTCTCGGTGAAGTCCCGGCCTTGTTCCTGATCAAATCCTCGCACGACCCATCGTGCCTTGAACTTCTCGATTGTGCCATCTGCTTTCGTTTTGATGCGGAAGACCCACTTCCCGGTAAGAATGGTCTTGTTTCTTGCTATGCTTGCTGGAACGACTTTCCAGGTGTTGCGTTCCTCCAATGCTTTTAACTCTCTATCCATGGCTTCACGCCATTTCTCCTTGTGTTCCCCCCCCAGAGCCTGTTGAACTGTCGCAGGCTCTTTAGGAAGAGAGGAGCCATGGACTGCGGTGACGAGGCCGAGAATCTGCAGTCCGGTCTGTGAGTAGCGGGGGAGTGTTGTGTCCTCGGGATAAGCTGCTTCATCTCCCGCTTCTGGGTCGGGTATGAAATTCGGTCCTACTCTTTCTGCTTCGTTGGTGTTGGCTGTTGCAGGTGTTACGTAACCATTGTCGGCGAAGTGATAGAAGACTTCGGCGTTGGCACTTTCGCGAGGATTTTCTTCGTCCATGGGGACGTTGACGGAGCAGAACGGGAGAGGTCCGGCTTCTTCAGATGCGTTGTCGACGTTCTGCTCGTCCCAGTCTGCTTCGTCTGCTGCTGAGGCGAATGCTCGGTCACCACGAAAGCCACCTGTGGGGTCCTGATTCTCGTGCAAGTTGGCGAGGTACGTCTGAAGGGTGAGGCGTTCGTAGAAGATCACATCACGTGCTGCTACTATTTCTTTTGAGTGGACGTCAAAGATTTTCCACGCGTTGTAATTCTTTTCGATGCCGAGGTGTAGTCCCCACTGTGCGCGTTGTGAAAATCTTCCCGCTCGTGCCTCAGGGGGTCGGTACTGTACCATGCACCCAAAAACTCGTAACATTTTTGTGCTGCCCTGCTTCCCTGTCCACAGCAGATGCGGTGATGCGTTGTTCGGGAGTGAGGACGACGACATCAAGTTGTGCAGCATGACAGCGTGGTCCATTGCTGCAGGCCACTGGTGGTTGGGTAGCCGCATGCCACGTAACAGTTTGCGCATGCTGTTCTGCAGAGTCCTGTTCATTCGTTCTGCGACACCTTGCTGCTGATGGGCGTAGGGAAGGGAGAGGAGTTGCTTGATTCCTCTTTCCGCCAGGTACTGCTTGAAGCGCTGAGAGGTGTATTCTCCTCCTCCGTCTGACTGGAAGCTTTTCAGCTGTGCTCCCGACTCTCGTTCTGCTACTGGTAGTCAGGCGGCGAACGCTGCGAGTGCCATGTCGCGGCTTGGTAGGTTTAGATGCCAGACATATCGAGTGGCGACGTCGATGAAGGTAATCGTATAGTTGTAGGTGACTTGTCCTGGTTCGCGATTGTAGAGGATGTCGCTGTACACCTTCTCGAGTGGTGCGTACGCCGGTGCGCTCGGGTTGTGATGAGGAGCGAACGGTCGATGTGGTAAGTCAGCTTCGGGGCAGGTAAGACAAGTCCCTCGTGCCTTTTGAAGTTCTCTGCCGTCGGGTAGTAGTAGGGAGTCTTTGTCGAGAACTCCTGCTCTTATCGTGTTGTTTAAGACTGTGTTGCTTGGATGTCCCAATCGTGCGTGCCAGGTTTCTTCGGAGGCGCGATGTCCGGGTGATCGTCGATACGTGTCGGAGTTGGAGTAGAAGCTGGCGACGAAGTTTGCGCTTCTGTGGGCTTCTCGTGGAGTTGGTTTCAACTGCTGTGCGGGTGTTGGTGGTTCTTCGTCGACGAGGACTGGTGTCGTTGTTCCTGCTGCTGCTGCCGATGATGTCTCTGCTGCTGTCGTTGTTGTTTCTGCTGCTGATGATGATGTCTCCGCTGCTGCCGACGATGTCTCTGCTGCTGTCGATGTTGTTTCTGCTGCTGCCGATGATGTCTCTGCTGCTGCCGACGATGTCTCTGCTGCTGTCGATGTTGTCTCTGCTGTTGTCGAGTGTTGTATTGTTGCTAATGCGCGTGTTCGTTCTGCTTCAGGGATAGTATGGGAGTACCAGAAGCCTTCCGGGCTGAAGTCTGGATCAAGATCTGGAGGGTGTGTCCAGTCCGTGAAGTTAACAATAGCGTCGCTGTCTGCGGTGCCCAGGTCCGGGACGAAATCCAGGACGAAGACGTTGTTCTTCAGAATTGCCTTCCCAATGTAAAGGCCGCCTTTCCCGTGATATAATTTAAATTCCTGGGTGGTGCTGTCGGCTTCCAGGTGGATGCCCTTCGCCATCAACTGGCTGACGCTCAGTAAGTTGTAGCCGAGTCCTTCTGCTATTAGTACCTTTGACATGTGTAGTATAACATTAGTCTCCCTGGACTGAAGCTGTACCACTCCTTGTCGTCGTGTGCGCAGGTTCTGATTGTTGGCAACTGTGATGACGACCTCTCGTTGAAGTCGATGTTCGCGTTGGACGAAGCGTCCCGAAGAGCACATGTGTTGTCCGCAGCAACTGTCCAAGAACCAAGTATCTTTCCCGGATGGTTCACTTTGAGCAATGGCGGCGTACGTCGGATTCGGTTGAAGAGACTCGCGGCGAGGCGTGCTGTTGTCAAGTTGTTCTTCGGGTGAGTAGTACGGTGGTGACTCGGTTGTGCAGGAGTCGGTTATCTTTACCATGCAGTTGACGATATTCCTTGGTTTTTGCGCAGGTTGTCCTGTTGGAGTCGTTGAAGCTTGGACTGAAGTAGTTGGGCCTGCTTGCGTCGAGGTGACTTGGCCGCTCGAAGGTCGGAGTTGTCGCTGTGGTGCTGTCGATTGATGACGATACGGGCAGTGAGTGCGAGGATGTCCTGAAGTCTTGCAGATATGGCAAAAAGGAGGTACTGGCTTCGGTTGTTGTTGCTGTCGAGTGTTGCTATTGTTGTAGCGTTGCTGGGTGTGAAAGGCGAATTCTGGTACTGATGCCTTTTTCTTATGTCGTTCTTCTTGCAGGTCCATATCCTGCTGCTCGGCGTGGATTTCGGCGCAGAGTGCCGCTTCGGAGATTCTTCCGTGTGCTCGTAATATGGCGCGAGTGGAGCGCCAGTGAGGGCCGAGACCGCCGATGACGACCGTGACGAAGGCGTCTTCTGAAATTGAACCTCCACATCGAAGGAGCCTGTCGCGCAGCTCGCGGCAGCGACTGATATACTCCATGCCTTTCTCGCCTGGCTTCATTTCGATTGTTGTCAGATGCGCCATTAACCGGCTTTGGTTTACACTGTCTGTTGCTTGATACAGGTTCTTCAGGTGGTTGTACGCGAGCTCCGCGGAGTTGCCGTAGCCTCGGTAAGGCCTGATGTTCTGCTGTTGGGTCGGGGTAATGTTCCTCAGTAGTATAGTGTACGCCATCATTGATTGATAAGTATACTGCTGCTTCTCATACTGTGTGCCATTTGTTGGATATGGCAGGGACCCGTCGAAGAAGCCAAGGATTTGCGCTCCTTCCATCATCAGCTCGAATTCGAAAGACCAGGTGAAGAAGTCTTTTCCGTCAAAGGGCTTTGTCGTTTGCAGCTTTAAAACGTGCGCGAATTGCGACTGAACTTGTAATGCGTCCAGTGCTCTCTCTTGTCCCGGTGCAGGTTGTGGTTGCGGCATAAAGCCGACGGAGCCACGCTGGGGCTCGTACGGAGCAAAGGTGGGTTGTTGATGTTGATTCCCGCGCGTGTAGGATGAGCCATCGAGACTCATAGGCGTCACGTTGTTGTTGTTGTTGCTGTTGTTTGATTGCGCAGGTGCTCCTTGCTGGTGCTGCTCGTAGAAGGACATGAAGGAGAAGAATTTCTCCATCATGCTTGGATCGAAGCCCGCGCCTTGGTTTGCGGGTGTTTCCGTAGACCCAGCTGCTGGTCTCGTCGTTGTCCCCTCCTCTGTCAGTAGGCCAGAGGCAGGTGGTGGAGTAGGGGTAGTACCGGGAGAGCCGTTGGAGGAGCTCCTCTCCTTTCTAGCAGACATGTCTTCTTTGATGTACTGAGTGTTGAATAATGAATTTTAACTCTAACTGCTCTCATACCATGTTGGGCTGAAACGCCCTAGGATCTTTGTAGAGTTAAAGTCTGAGTAGATGTTGTAATAGCGGAAGCGTTCAATAAAGCTCTTGAACCACCTTGCGCTAGTATGTGAGGGCAAAGTAAGTTGATAAAAGCAAAGAGATACAATAATATAATTAGATGAGTACAGAGAATATGAAGAGACATTATTGATAAAGTTTAGAAGAGAGAAGAGGATTGCACTAGCAAGAATGGGGATACAAATAGCAAACCCTAGAAGGGTTGTACTCGCTATAGAGCACCCCACTACAGGCTAGAGCATAAGATAACATTCGGACAATTATAACTAATTTTACTGTTGCGGTTCGATACAGTGCGACTCGGGCAACTGCTCAATGTCGAGTCAGTTGTTTGTCCTTGCTGTCGCGCTGCGTCAGGTCAAAGGTCGCTGCCCTTTGACTTTCCTGTAACCTCCGACGATTACGTTAACCTCGTTGGTTGACTCGCGCTGCTTCGACTTGAGCTGCTTCGTTTTGTGTCTTGAGTATTGACACGACAGAGGCGCTTAACTTATTTGTTCCCAACACTTTTTTTCGTGAGGTTGGGGTTGTGGTGGCGATTTTCGCCACAACCTGCAACCAATCGAGGTTGGGGGGTAGATTGGCGCAAAATTTGTAAGCCAATCCTGAGAAGGCCAACTTTCAGAGGGGGGGTTGGGTTGTCAGAAAGTAGTAACTGCACCTCGCCACCCAAGGATGGAGCGAAGCCCTGTGCTACCTGGTTTTTAAGTGATAAACCAGGTCCTCCCGCAGGAGGTATGTAGGCGACAGCTTTAAGAACTTGATTTGGTCCTTATGTTAGGTTTGGTCAGCAATGGGTTTTCAATACATGCTGGGAAGCACTGAGCATCACTTCTATACTCTAAAGGGCATAACAGGGTAAATTACTACGAGGACATAAGGCAGTCTCCTGAAGGTTTCGCAACCCAACCCTTGCTTTTCCCCCAGCCGTCATCATCACACGCAACCAACAGGGGACCACTCATCACACGAGGCACCTCGTGAGTTCGTCAGACTTGAGTTCATCAAACTTGATTGCTGGTTGATGCTGTTTCTGACCTTCTCATAACTGTTTTCACTGGGCTCTTATAAGTCAAGTTTTTTAGGAGCGGCCATCCGTGAAAGCCGGTGATTTGACGGAGCGCGTCGCCATGTCGACGCCGAACAAGCGGAGGGAGATGGATGTGATGAAGCTGTGAGTTGGTGGTTGGAGTTTAGCAGATTAGGGTTTCCCGGTTTAGCAACAGGATTTGACTTCGGGTGTTTTCCGAGAGTGCAGGATGATGAGTGATTATAAAGTCGAGCTTATAAATGACAGTATGATCGAGTTCAACGTCTACTTTCACGGACCTAAAGAGAGTAAGTTTTTTCCGCCTTTCTAAGTTCTGCTGCTCGTTCGGCTGCTCGTCGGATTCTTCTCACTTTGTTTTTAATACCAACGCCGGCAGGTCCATATGAGGGAGGCGTCTGGAAAGTCCACGTTGAACTCCCTGATGCGTATCCCTACAAGTCTCCATCGATTGGATTCATTAATCGGATTTTCCACCCTAACGTCGACGAATCGTGAGTTGTTGTACCCGCCGTCGACAAGCTTCCTATTCTCGTCGCACAGTGTGGGTAGAGCAGCGCGCGACTAACGCGTATTCCGTGTATGCATCGGCGTTTTCCAGGTCTGGCTCGGTATGCCTAGACGTCATCAATCAAACATGGAGTCCAATGTTCGGTGCGTGATGCGCATACCGTAACTCATCTAGGCCACCGGTTCCCCCCCCCCACCCCACCCCCTTCCATCCATTTTCTCATTTCCAGTTGCTAAGTTCTCCCTACTGCTCTCCTTTTTTGTCTCGCAAGTCGTCTATCCATTTGCTTCTCCATTCATTCCTTCGTTCATTTCATGGCTCACGCTACCGTTCCGTCACTGCAGATTTGATCAACGTGTTTGAGGTCTTCCTTCCACAGCTCCTGCTTTACCCGAATCCAACTGATCCTCTGAATGGCGAAGCCGCAGCTATGCTCATGCGAGACCCAGAGCAATACAGGCAGAAAGTGAAAGGTAGTGCTTTGAATCCTCCCTCCTTTATTCCCCCTCCTCCCTCCTCCCTCCTCCCGCCCTCTCTCTCTCTCTCTCTCTCTCTCTCTCTCTCTCCCTCTCTCTCTCTCTCTCTTTCTCTCTCTCTCACTTTCTCTCTTTCTCTCTCTCTCACTTTCTCTCTTTCTCTCTCTCTCTTTCTCTCTCTCTCTCTCTCTCTCTCTCTCTCTCTCTCTCTCTCCCTCTTATCAATACTAATTTGGGTAATGGCATCGGATTGGCGCCAACTTTACTAGTGCTCGCACTATTGTGTAATCAATGGTCCCTTTGCCATCATTTCCTGCAGAATACTGCTTACGATACGGCAAGGCGGAGGATTTAGCCAGAAGGCACAAGGCGGATTCTGACGATGACGATAGCGAAGATTTGAGCGACTATGATGACAACGATGCTTCCAGCGATGAAGAGATGGCTGGGCCGACGGATTTATAAGCCGATCGCCATGGTGTTCCCGTACAGTTGCCTCTTCCAGGCAACTAGGGTTATGCTATGCCATATGCATGCCGTGCCACCTCTTGGCTGTCCTCCTCCTTGTAAATATGTTCCTCTGATCCATTCATCTTATAGGAGCTGCCACTTCACAGACCTTCGATTCCTTTTTATCACCTGATTCCATCGCAGATGCACCGTCGTGTCTATCACACCCTGACTTCCCTTGCTAACAGCCTTTACCCCCTTCTTGTCCCTGATCCCCTTACCGTGGGGCCTGGCGCTCTAAGCCTTGCCCCCCTCTTCCTTTCCTACCATGGGGGTCAACTTCCACAGCCTCCACTATACTCTGTTCTTTCACAATCTACAGCACCCACATTCATCCATGTTCCTCTCCACTTCATCTCTCGCCACTCTGTTCATCCATAATGTGTTGATTCGGCTTGCCTTCAGAAGTCAAAAGTCACATGAAATGTGATTTGTCACTCGAACAGGAGGGGTGTAGCACGTCCAAACATCCAAACCACAGGCTGAGTCAGCATGTGCACCATCAACTCAACTTGTCACTCAAGGACTGTTCTCTCCCTTGACAGCTTTGTCCTACACACCCGTAGCTGTTTGTATCCATAATCTGAAGAACTACCGCAAGTACAATGCACTCTGCTTTGGCTTGGCACCACATGCCAAATAACTTATTCCACGATCCAGTGCATGCATTCCAACCCAACATCAACAACACTCTCATTTCGAGTCAATCTTGATCCAATCCCGCTGAAGCCGTTCCAGCGTTTTTGGCACAAACCCAGAGCCCCCTACCCTGAGCCGAGTCACCTTCTTCCCTTCCAGAACCGGCAGCAGCCAAGCATGCTGCATGTTGTTGCAGCCCAGGTGCAACTCCTGCAGCGCAGGAACCAAACTCAGGTGCTCCAGAAACAGCTTAGGTCGTGTTCCTACAGCCTCTTATCAGGCGAACCTCTTGTCAGATTCGCGTCGCACCGCACTGAAACACTCTTAATAACATTCGATCGCACTGAAACGCATTGAACCGCACAAGTCTGACAAGAGGTCCCCTGATAAGGGGCAGTAGGAACACGCCCTTACTCATGCCGCTGCACTGCTGCAGCTTCAAACGCTCCAACCGCTCTAGCGCTTGCAGGTGCACAGTGGCCCCTTGGGTGATTGCCGTTCCTGACAGGTCCAGTGACTTTAGCTGGGTCATGCCTCGGATCACCGATCTCACAGCCTCGGCTACTGTAAAGGTGCAGGCAGCCAGGCTGAGGTCTGTGAGCAGAGAAAGGCCACTCGAGCCCACCAGGTCGGAATCATCAAGCGCGGTGCCAGTAATGCAGAGGGTTTTGAGGTGTGTGGTGGTGGAGAGGGATCGCAGCGCTGTGGCGCTGGGTTCTGCAGCGTGAATCTCTAGGTGCTGCAGGCGCGGCAGGGCAGCCACCACGTCCCATATGCTCGCGTCGAGGCGATTTTTGGGTTCGTCGCTGGGGTCTTCGCTTGTGGCTGCAGCCCGGTTCTTGGGCGGCCTTTGGAAGGTGTGGATGATCTTTGGCAGGCGGGATAGGGAGAAGTCTAGGCTCAGATTGAAGCGGCGGAGCAACAGGGATTGGAGCAGGGAGGTAGCAGGGATTTGGTCGTTGGATCCCCAATCCTTGATTGATGGCGCCAGCAGCAGCCTCTTCAGGTTCTGCAGTCTCCTGAGACGATTCCATCCCTGCGATGTCATCCCCTTGCTGTACGTGCAGGAGAAGACCTCAAGGCTCGCCAACATCCCCACGAACTGCAGAGTCGAATCAGTCACGCGGCTCACATGCAGCTCTCGCAACCTCTGAAACGGCTGGATAGTGCTGATGGGATCAGACGGAGCAGGCAGGTTGCCTTGACGGCTAGCTGGTAGATTGAGAACAATGGAGGGGTCAGCACACGCGATGACGAGCCTCTGGAGCCGAGACATGTGAGGGAAGAGCGGCAGAGCGTCTGAACGGACGGAAGTCTCGTGGAGGTGAAGGGCTGTGAGAGAGGGCATGCGGAGGAGCAGATTCACGGCGCATGGGGAGACGGGGTGAAGTTTCTGGAGGTTGAGAGTGGTGACGGACGGTAGCAAGCCCGGATAGCAGTGGGGAGTGAGGAAGAGGTAGCAGGCAAGGGAGAGGCTAGAAAGAGAGAGCTCTTTTGCAGCGGGGTCCGGGTGGTTCCAAAGCTGTGATACCACCCGGTTAATATCTCGGGTGGTATTTTCCATCCTGTCGGGATGGATGCTTCGTCTCTGCAAATCATCGATCCGTCTCTGTAGCCGTGCCCGCACCTCTGCTTCGCTTGCTACCCGGCCGGCCGGCCACTGATATAACCTCCCCACCGGTGGTCCTCCTGCTCTCCCCGCCGTGCGATTCCCTCCTCCCTTGTGTGCAGGCCTATCCTCCACATTCGTAACTGCTCCTCCTGAATCCACACTCGCGCCCCCTCTGCTCCCGGCAGTACGGGCGGCAGTAATGAGCGGCTGGGGTGGAAAGTAGGGGGAAAGGGGGAGGAGTGGGTGAGGGCAAGAGCGAAAAAAAGAGGTGAAAATGGGGAACGGTTAGGACAAGGCAAAGAGTGGGAACAGGGGATAAACGAGGGAATGCGGGAGGTGCAGTCATGAATGGCTGGTTGGGAGAACTGGACGGTATGTGAGGAAGCATAGAACATTAACAGAAAGGGAGAAAACGGGAGGGGAAGAAAAGGGAGGAAAAGAGAGTAAATGGGAGAAAAAACTAAGGAATACGGGATGGACGGAAACAAGAGGGGATAGTAAGCAAGTTGCAGGTGAGGGTCTCTTGAAAAATGAGGATGTTAGTTACATTTCCAGGTAATAACTGTCGTACCCCTCGCCCCGCTCACCTGCACCATGGAAAGATTGTCAACAACTTCCTCTTGCATGGCTGCCTCCCTGACAACCGCTTGCCTCACTGACTGTGAGTCCACATCGGCCAGTCGCCCCTCCCCGCCCTTCGCTCTGCCCCTTGCGCTGGCTCCCGCTCCCCCCTTTGCGCTGCCCCTTGCTCTGCCTCTTGCCCTGCCCATTGCCCTGCCCCTTGCCCTGCCCCTTGCGCCACCCCTTGCGCCACCCCTTGCCCTGCCCCTTGCGCCACCCCTTGCCCTGCCCCTTGCTCTACTCCTCGTTTCGCCCCTTCCTCTGCTGACCCTATGCCTCGCCCTTCCCCTCCATCCGCTTCGTTCTCGTGCCCCTCCTCTGCACCGTCCCTTCCTCTTTCCTCTTGCTTCAACCCTGGCTCTTCCTAGTCCTCGCCTCCATGTCTCGTTCTCCGAACCCGCAAGCCCATCTCCCATCGCCTCTTCCATCCTCTGCGTCGTTTCCTCTACCGCGTCCCTCACCCCCTCTTCCTGCGCCTCCTCTCCCTCCCCCTCCTCGATCTCCATTGCCCATTGATCCCCCCCGTCTTCTTCTTTCCCCTCTTTCATTCTATCCGCATGAGCCTTGTTTTGAGCCGCCTCAGAAGTAGCCTCTCCCTCTTTCTCCTCTGTCATTCTACCCGCATGAGAATTCCGGTTTTCAAGTCCGAACGACAGCATCCTCACTGCCTGCACCATTGAACGGAAGGCCTCCGCGTGACCATTCAGAGCCGTTAGATGCTGCCACGTGGGTGATCCGACGAAGGGATTATTAGGAAAGGAATGGGCAAGGGAAAAGTCGGATGGCATGCACTGGAGATGGGTAAGGGCATGCACTGGACAAGACATGCCAGGGCATTGCTGGTGTGGCATAGGCCGCGCGATTACCTCCGTCATATAGTGTGGGTGTGTAATATGGGGCATGGCGTTGCACGTGCGACATGGACGATGAGATGTATGGCATGGGATGGGATGGGATGGGATGGGATGGGATGGTAGGGCATTGCATCGCATGGCTTGGCATGGCTTGGTATGATGGCGAAGCGTGTCGTGGCCTGGCGTGAGCGTGGCATGTGCTGTGCGCACTCACCTCCATCATTATCACCGGATGCGACGGAGAGCCATCCATCATGCGCGCGCGCTTGCGCGCTCCCTCGGCCTGAGACAGCACCGCTTCCCTCAGCCACCCCTCTCGGAGCACAGTAGCGAGCGACGACATCGCATCCACCTTCCGCCCAATCCACTCCTCCAGCTCCCGCATCGCCTTCTTGCGTTCCCTCACCACTCCTTCCAGCTCCTCTTCCCGCCGCCTTCCTTCCGCTAAAGCCTCCCGCGCTTTCTTTAATTCATTCCCCCATTCCCTCTGGTCCTTCCGCTCCTGCTCGTTCCTCCCCGCGTTTCCGGCGTGTGAAGTGGTGTCCATTCGATCTGTCAAGTCCTTCGCGGCGTCGTTACCCTTCGCACGGCGCGTCGTGGTTATTCGCGGACCAGTCACCTGGGAGTGAACACAGGCTTTTTACAGGGCGAAGTCACCACCGGCGAGGGGTGAATTCTCGGCTCGGCGAGGAGAGAAGGGTTCCCGGTTGGGAGGATTGTCAGGTTGGTATGCGACAAGCTTGCGTGCAAAGCGCGTAGAAGAAAAACGGCAAGAAATTAATGACGAAATGACGAAACGCCGCTACGGAGCAATAGTTGTTCACAAAGGGCGGCGCGGAATAGTAAAGGATAATTGTTTTGTTTCTTCGTGCTTTCAATAGCAAAAAAGACGGGAAGCCATTAGGACCGTAGACGGGCAAAGTCTATCGAAAGGATTACTGTTCTCAATAAGAACGGCTTCGCAAGTTGGGAGGATTGTCGGGTGGTGTGCTGAGCTTGCGGATAAAGCGCATGGAGGGGAAAGGTTGCAGTGGTGAGGGAGAACAGATGCACTCTTGCACAAAGGCGCGATTCAATGTGGGAGAAAACCGGTGACATCCGTTTCTTAACGTCACATAGAAAGTGTCCTCACAAGTAACGCGGCGCCGTGTTCTCCAATTTTAAAATTCAAACCTATGTTTCAAACCCGCTTTAATGAACTCTCTTTTGTTTACAATGAGGTGTTAAAAAAGGTATGAGTGCATACAACACGTGTTTCTGTCTAAAGAGAAGAGAAACGGTGAAACGGGGTGGATACCCGAAACCCTGAAGTCTTGAATTACTATGTTTACTTCTGCGTCTGCGCTGTCCCAGCCTAACAAATGTTGGATGTTGTTCGTGGAGAAGCATTTGCACAGAGGCCAACTTGTTGCTACAAATAGTATATAAAGCCTTCGACCATACAAGTCACACATACTTTCTTGATCCTATCCTTCCAGAGAATCTGCTGTGTGCCTAGTTGACGGCCAGTCATCTCTAGCTCAGAGGTTGAACCCGTAGCATGACTGACTGTCAACTGGGAACGGATAACCTGATTCTGTAAGTAATCCTTCAATTTGGGCTGTTCGCACGCTCAAGGATTTACACCTTGGTGTTCGTGGGAACCAGGACTTTATCCACACCGTGAGCGATGAAGTACGGCCCAGCGTACAGCCTGACGATCTTGATCGTGGTCCAGGCGGCAGGGGGCGCGTTGGGCGTCTTGGCGAAAGAAACCGTGTTACCATTCTGCTGCGAAACCTTGTACATCGCCTGCTTCAGCTGCGTGCCGATCGGCTGCGACTTCTTGAGCACCTTGAGCGCGGGAACGGTGTACTTCTTGCGGATGATGTGGTACGCCGTGATGTTGTAGATTCTGGGGATGTTGGCTTTGTTAACGGGGACCTTCTTAGCGAGAGCCTCCGCCTCTGTGTCGCTGGGGAGGAGCAGGGTTGCGTCGCTGAGTGCTGTGAAATCGTACTTGGAGTTCACTGAAGGGGGGTGAGGGAGAGGAAGAGGCAGAGAGAGAGAGCGGGAACAGAGAACAAGAAATGGTTCGATGGCTGGCCAAAATCTATAGCTAACGTACGTGGAAACGGGATGCAAATGGGAGGATGGTCAGAGGCGAGGAAGAAGACATGGTTCTGAGCTAATCGAAGGAATCAAAACAGGACGCGGAACGAAGAGGTTCGGAGTCGACGTGCATAGAGAAGCGTGGGCAGTTTGTCGCGTGGAAGAAGACTGAGAAATAGGCTGGCATGAGATCTCGACGTTTCGGGAGTTCTGATTTAGAAGTAAAAGATAAAGAAAGAGAGTTCTTACGTGCGAGGCCGATGTACTTGTTGATGTCCTTGGCGTATTTCGCGTATTGCGGAAACTTCTTAGTAATGGCGTTCGCCATTTTCTGAAGCTCCGCTTTTATTTGCGCCTTGGTGGGTTTCGCCGGCGCCTGGGCGTGCGCGCTCGCGAAGCACAGCACGATGCAGAGCAGCCCTAGGAGAGAGAGGTATCGTGAGCTGGCCATGTTCGGGAAAAAAAAAAACCACGATCGTACTGAAGGAAACAGTTTCCGTGCAAAGGGAAGATCGGTACGAAGATGTGGAGGTGTGGGTGGCTGGCGAATCTGAAGCGAGCGAGTGGCTTCGATCAAGAGGGAAGTGAAATCGATCAGAGGCTGTTCAGGTCAGGTGAGTCAAGGTGAGGCATGAAAGAATTTGATGAGAGTTGGAGGAGCACGGAAACTGTTTTATAGGTGTGGAATGGGGCTGGCTGGGGACGGGAGCGCGTCAACAAATACCGACATGCGGCGCGAGAAGCGGTGATGCAGCTCAGGCGAAGTTACATTTTCGGTGACGACTAGGCTTGAATTCGTCGTGCTGGAATTTGGGAGACGGGGCAACTGAGCAGTACAGTACTTGTCGCCAATGAATCGGGGGGCCCGGAAAATGTCGCGAAGCTCGTTGACGGATAGTGGTGGTGGCTGTCGGTTGAAGTCGCGGTTTGCGTGAAGCTGGCGACTTCAACGACATTCCTTCCGTCACCGAGGCAACGTTTATCGTCCTGCTCTATAGAAGCATTTTCACCAAAGAGGAGACATGCTATAACACTGAAAATCTGCTTGATACATGTTTCATGCCTCCAAACCAATTATCAAAATGGAAACTGCACCTCTGGAATCCAAAAACGTTAGCTTAGATCCACAAAATACACACCCCTGTACATACATACACTGCTCTACCATACTAGTCAATAACTGGCATCCATCTACAGAAAAACGCCACACAAAAGCACAAGTTTGGCACTCCAAATGCACTAGCTGCAGCACAACAAATCATCACTACCAGTATCACTTGAATGTTGCCATTTTGCGAAACGGCACCATGCGCTTCCTAAAGCAGGGAACAGAGGAAGGGCAGGGGAACACAGGAGGCGTTGGTACTTCAAAATTCAGTGACAAATAGGCTCCATTATTGAAAAAGGGAATGGGACAAGAGTATAGGAGCACCTGAAGCGGAGATGGTCCACTCCATCTACCTAGATGGGGTACAGGGCGAGGATAAGTGATGGTTGGGAATGGGGACAAGGCGAATGGGGTTGGGTATGGTGTGCTGCTGGGGACCATATGGGGGAGGGGGGAGGGGGGAGGGGGGAGGGGGGAGGGAAAAGGGGGGAATGTGTGGGAGCCTTGGACCTAGTGGGTGAGCGGGAATCAGGAAGGAGCGAATCAGGATGGCACAAGTGTACACATAAATGTGCGAGCCTACTCACTTTGGCGAAACCAACCCAAACGCGCCGGATGAGTCTTTGGGCTTGCTCGTCGCCGCCTGGGCGTCCGTCTCTTCAGCCGCGCTCCTCCCTTCCGCGCTTCCCCTCCCCTCCTCGCTCTCGCACTCCGCAATGGGTTCGGCCGCACCCAGAGAAACAACCTCACTCGAGTCAGAGACAGCTGCGGAGCCAAATCCGCCAATCGTAGGCTTCCCTGACAGAAACTGCGTGGAAGACTTGGCAGCAGTCGCATTGTTATCCCCGCTAGAAGCCTGCGCCTTATCCGCCGCTTTAAACGAGAACCATTTTGAGAAGCGACGGGAGGGCGTGAGCGGGGGGGCGATGCCCCCGCTGGGGGCAGTCGGGGCTGCGGAGGGGAGGGCAGAGCAGGAGAGCGGGCCGTGATCAGCGGAGGCGGCGGGGTCCGACTCGGGGACAGTGAGCGCGGGGAGGAAGGGCAACCCTCCGCCTGAGGATTTTCCGCGGATGCGGAAGGAGCGCGCGGAAATGAGGGAGGAGAGGGCGCCGGTGCTCGTGCTTTTGCTTATGGTTCCGCCGCTGTTCGCCGCGCGCGCTGCATCTTTATGCGGAGCAGCGCCGGTGCTGGTGCTGACGGGCGTCACGGTGTCGCTGTTAGGAGTTGTGCCTGTTGCGGATTCGAGGGAGAAAAGCCCGCTTGCGCTTGTGCTCTTACGAATGCCGCCGCCGACACCGCCGCCATTGCTGCTGCTGCTCGGGGCGTTCAAGCTTTCAGCGGTTTCAGCGCTCGGAGCAGGGGCGATGGCGGTGGCGCCGGTGTCGCTAACAATGGCAGTGGCTGTTGGGGTGACGACTACAGCACTTTCCGCCACCGCGCTCTCCGCCTCCGCGCCCCCCACCACCACGCGCTCCGCCTCCGCGCTTTCCGCCTCCGCTTTCTCCGCCTCTGCGCTCTTAGTTTCCGCGCTCTCCACCTCCGCGCTCGACTCTGCGCTTTCCTCTTTCGCGGACTCCTCTGTCGCGGTCTCCGCCACCGCGACCTCCGCCACTGCGACCTCCGCCACCGCGACCTCCGCCGCTTGCGTTGATTCTTCAGTCGACTCCACCGCCTCTGCCGTTTCAGGCGTTTCCGCAAATTCCGCTGGCGCTTCCGTCGAACTTTGCGTTTCCGTCGATTCTGGCGTTTCCGCTGGTTCTGTGCTTTCCTTCGTTTCTGTCGTTTCCATCGCGGCTTCCGCTGTGTTTGCCGCTTCCGCACGCTGCCGCGCGGCCGCCTCTCGAGCCGCTTCCTCGATCATCATGATCTGCCAGAGCACTCGGCTCTCCTCGTCCTCGTCGCCCGACTCGAACACCTCGCTCTCCGCGATTGCCGCCATGGCTCCGGCTTTACTCAACACGCCGCCGTCCATATGGTCCCACGGATGCGTCGCTAGGCCCAACGAAGCTGACGAGGCGGTTGCGTGGCTGTGGGAGCTGAGTACGTCAGTCATGGTAGAGCGAAGGTAGAGCGGAGGTAAAGCGGAGGTAGAGCGGAGGTAAGGCGGCAATAAGGCGGTCAAAGATGACTCGGAAATGCCTTGGAGTCCAAGCCCCCCTGTGGTAGTTTCTCGTTCAGAAACTCTCTCCAACGAACTCGCCGTTCTAAGGAGGCACTCCGAAGGAAATGGAACCACACAACGTGTGCTTGGGGCTCAGAAGGACACTTCCGCACGTGTTTTCGCTCCTGGTTAGGCAGCGATGAGGGGCAAATGAATCTCTAGTTCCACACACGCACCACAGGAACAG